TAAGATTTAGTGACATTCTAGGGTAAGGTAATGATTTAATTAACTGAGATACTATTTATAATACTCAAGATGATTTGGTAATTGTGGTGGGGGATGATAATCCTTAGTTTCTTAAGTCAATATTTTGAATTTTAAGTCAGAGTTTTGCAAATGAATTACATAAAAATCCTCTTGAAAATCCTCCATTAAAGAAAATTTTTTATCTCTGTCTCTCTCCTCTCCCATCCTCTTCTCTCATTTTCTCACACACATTTATTTATGTTAAAAGTCATAGTTTTAGATTAAGAGACAAATACAATGTGCAGAACACAGGTTTCACAAAGTAGAATGAAGAAGCAAAATAAAAAGAAACCAGTGGATGTTGACCACAAAACTGATGGTACATTTTTCTAAAAATAAAAAAAAAATAGAAAAAGAAAAGAAAAGAAAAAGATTAAATACTTGTCTCAGAGAATCAAATAAAAATCTGAAAAATTTCTCATTAAGTGGAGGAGCTGATCCATGAATAATTAAAAAAGGAGAATGTTGATTAATGTAGGCCTAGGAGAAAAGAGATGCAAATGAGTACTATCATTAATCCATCTTGTTAGAAAAATATTGTACAGACATGGACCACTCTAATTTTAACAAAGAGAAAGAGAGAAATCTATGATTAAATATGGCCCCCATCACCCCCATCATATGTCTATGTAGCCTTAATGAAGTTCATTGAGTTTATCTGTCAAGTTGGAGTGCTAAGGCATTGTTCTACTATCCTTCCAAAGTTGTAGAAATCAAATTTACTAATGTGTGTAAATATGTTCTGTGAATACAAATATGTACTAAAACAAAACAAAACAACTGAAATGACCAGAGAGCCAGGACTGGAAGCAAGTCTAGAGGGCTCTAATGGATCTGAATCAAGTGGATTTTTAAGAAAATAACAGGGTCACACTCAAAGTTTTTTTTTCTTTTTGGGTCACACCTGGCGATGCTCAGGGGTTACTCCTCACTTTGCACTCGGGAATTACTCCTGGCAGTGCTCAGGGGACCATGTGGGATGCTGGGAATCGAACCTGGGTCGGCCATATGGAAGGTAGACACCCTACCTTCACTCCAGCGCCACATACTCAAGTTTTTAATGTAATGCTTTCAGGACAATTTATTTTCCTTGAGTGTCTGCTTTCTCATCTGAAAAATGGAAATCATAATGATAGTTTTTTCAGGTTACTAGTATACAAGTTCAGTATGATATTAGAAAACAATAAATGGAACTTTTAAAATTAGGATTGCTAGCCATCTCAACAAGAAATCATTTCTTAAAAATGTCTCATATGATATTTATAGTGACTCTATTTGCCAGGAAAGGTATTACTGTTCCCATTTTTATGTACGTAGCATTGTAGCACTGTCCTCCCATTGTTTATCGATTTGCTCGAGTGGGCACCAGTAACGTCTCCATTGTGAGACTTGTTGTTACTGTTTTTGGCATATCAATTACTTCCTGGGGAGCTTGCCAAGCTCTGCTGTGTGGGCAGGATACTTTCGGTAGCTTACCGGGCTCTCCAAGAGGGACAGAGGAATTGAACCCGGGTCATCTGCGTGCAAGGCAAACGCCCTACCCACTGTGCTATCGCTCAAGTCCAAGAACTCAAACTGAAAAAGAAGTGAGTTATCCAAGATATTATTCACGTGGGATATGTTATACCTTCTTCTGTTGATGCTCACTACTCATTCTTTTCCTTTCATTCACTGTTATACTCATCCTTTTAAGAAAGATGGGCTTGTTTGATAACCCGCTCCACTTCTAACACTCCCTGAAACAAATATTAAGCCTGTCCCCCCAACCCTTTGACCACTTGGCCATTCCTTCAATCCTGTGCTTTTACATCACAGTCAATGTGTATCTAGTTCTTTCTCTTCATACTGGTGCTGTACTTATTCATCGTTCAGTGTGACAGACTAATATGAAACAGTTTCTATGAGTTAGGTGAATGATTCAAATGATTTTTTAGAGTTATTACTATTTTGACTTGACTCTACAAGCTATTCTTTGAAACTGTCCTAAAGAGACAAAGTATTTTGAGATGAAGCAATAGTTTTTGGAAATTCAAAATTTGTTTTCTTTAAAGCTCAGGAATTTTGCCTTTCTGTGTTATTGTCTAGATTCACTGATGATAAAAAACAAATGTATCTGGACTGCTGCACTGTGTTTGAGGGAGTGAGAGCGACAGAAACACAGGGAGACAGAATAGTGATATTAATGGGGAATAGCACTGTATAGCACTGTCCTTCCGCTGTTCATCAATTTGCTCAAGCGGGCCCAGTAACAACGTCTCCATTGTGAGATTTGCATATCAAATACTTCACGGGTAACTTTCAAGGCTTTTTGCCACGCTGATGAGATACTCTTGGTAGCTTGCCAGGTTCTCTGAGAGGAGTGGAGGAATCGAACCCTGTTCAGCCAGGCTGGCCGCCTGCAAGGCAAACGCCCTACCACTGTGCTATGGGTTTAGACATGAAAAGAATCTTGGAGTAATCTCATTTCCACTTTCCAAGCCTACTGCTCTCCATTCCTGGATCTCTATTTCTAGGTTTTCAGAGGGAAGGACACTAGACTGAGGGAGGAACAGAATTAGTGTCAGAACTTGAACTAGACTCCAGTTGTAAAGTTTATGTATCCCAGTTTGGGGATCTAATAAGGAATTTTCAGCTTTGGGTCTATTACATTATAGACAAGATAATATTTTGCTTTGGGCTGCCTTACAGATTGCAGATCGGTTAGCAGCAAGCCTGATCTCTATCCATTAGATGTCTGTAGCATCCTTTCCCCGCACCCCTGAGATGTAACAAATATGTATCCAGACATCATCAAATACCCCTCTCAGCCAAACTTCTTTGGATAGAGAAACACTAGCCTGCATATTTCCATTGCTCCAATGCACTGGCAGTTATAATTCACAATTTAAACCATCACTGCTTATTAAATTAAAATGAATACTAATGGTAAGCTAGATATAAATGTGAAAAGCAAAACCTCAGCAATTTTTATTATTTTAGCACCTTTTGCCCTAAGTAGCGATGAATCATATTTGTGATGGAGTCACTGATACTTTCAATCTCTGAATTGCGTCTACTTTTTGCCTCCTTTTGTAGCTGTTCTCTTAGATCTATAACACGAAATTTCCTTTTATCCCTTCAGTTTCTTTGACCATTTTGATTTTCTCTTACAACCTAGTTCTCACAGTTCTATTATTTTTCATTCTCCTCTCCTTGGAACATGTTCATGGTTCCCATGCCTTTAAACATTTTATTTCCTCATATGTCTTTCAAGGAACTCCAATCTTAATCTTTTCCTCAAGACTTGTATTCCCAAGGACCTCAGATACAGATGATACATTACCAGCTCCAATTCCTCCACTCATTAGGTCCTCCCTTCAGAGAGGCAAAAGCCACCACAAAACTGCTGTCCTGCCTGTTTTTTACTCATTGTCACCACCCTCGTGTTATTTTCTGACCAGAAACTTGGCATCACCTCCGAATTCTCTCTTTTTCCTCTCCACCCGCAGGTGTTGAACCCAGTTAATTAACTCTGAGGACTGAAACTATGTTTCTGGCCTTAATTTTATTTTCAGCATCAGCAGTCTGATGTCCTAGAATATAAAAATCTCATGAGCTATTGATTGAACTTGTAGAACGTGGGGCACATAGTTAGAGAGAGTAAGTGTGAACTATCTGCTTTTATTCTATCCCATTTATGAATAAAAACTAAATCTTGCAACCCAGGCATGTAGATTCCCCTAGAAACTGAAGCCTCCAATGTTCACTCAGACTGTTCTTCATAAAATAAGAGTCTGTTGAGCAGCTTTTAATATGCTGGCTCATTGTAATGAAAAGTGATTGGCTTTGAGATGGAAGAGAATTTTTAAAAAATAATTCATTATTCTTTTATTATTGTTTTAATATCTTCAGCTTTGTTTTGATTGTGGGGGCTTCTCAGCCGTGAGGATTCTAGATTTCCAAGATGGAACCTAGGGCCCTGTCCAGGCCAGACACATATGTGCTCTAGTTTTTGAGCTGTTTCTTCAGTCCAACTTGGAGGCTTTTAAAATTACTAGTAAAACACTCATTTTCTTCTTTTTTTCTTTTCAGTGGTCACTGACTAAAGTCCTATTCTTTGGCAAATTAAAAAAAAAGCCCTTTGTAACCTGTTACTGTAGCAACCTCTCATTTGATCACATCTTATCTTAAATAGTTGCAGTTAGTTTCCTGTTTACATTTAGTGCGGCTTAGCTATAAGGTTAGCATTGATTGAAAAAATAAAAGAAGATAATGATTACTGAAGTCAAGGCTTGCTTGATCTCCCTAAATTTTATTCCCTCAAAATGTATGGAAAATAATTCTTTTCATATCTGATGTAATCAAGACTTTGCAGTTATTTTGACCATAGAGAGGATAGACTTTACCTAAGGATAGTGATATTTGGAGGACAAAAAGGCATTGGTATTGGCAAAGGCATATTCAGTCCTTCATTTATATACAAGACTTAACAAGCCTACTATGTGGCACGCAAATTCTACAATTACAGAGTGCCCTGGAAGCAGGTAGAAAACTAACAGTCCATGAATAGAAAGGTATGTGACCACAGCAAAAGTGTGAACAAAGTGGATTTTGCTACCTGTTTGGGCTAGGCCAATGTTATGAATCATTATGACTTTGTTGCTTTGGTCTACAATACTTTGTTCTAAATTAGAATTCTTAATTCCAAGTCTAAAACACTTCATTTGAAAATGCTTTCCTTTCTCTCTGTACGCTCACCACATTAGCAGCTTGGTTGCGTCTCAGAGTCACTTTATCCCTGAGAATATAATTGATTCTGTGGAATTTGCTTTTGTGGAATGGTCTGAGAGAAAACAAATAAATCCCAGCCTCCATCTTCTGAACCCCCTCTATATAGCCACGAAGAAACGAGGCCAACAGAACCAGGTTGTGCAGCTGGAAGGCCATTTTCTATATCCGACATGGATGCTGGTTGGGCGGATGTACCTTGGCAAGCACATCTTAATGCTCCAGGGCCCACGGTTTTCGTGCTGTCCCTCTCTCCCCCTCTGGAAGACAGGACGCAACCTCTCCCACAAGGTACCCAGGATTGTCAGGGTGTAGGCTCAGCCTGACTCACAGAGTGGAGGTGATTTGTATCCTGTGAGTCACTAGCACCACTTCCTGCTGGCACACTTGAGATTTCGCTGAAACACAATCTCTGAGGTAAAAGTAGAGAGATGAATAGGTGAGCTTCAGATTCCTAAACACAGTTGGAATGTGACAGAAACAATCATCTCTGAAAGGAGTTACATTTTTATATATTGTTAAAATAGAAGCTGCTGGGATCAGTTTTGAGTTTCCATATCATCTTCTTATAAGCCCCATGGACAGAATTTCTTTGTGTCTTAGTTACCAGCATGGAGCTTGATGTTGGATTCATTTTCCAGTAAACTGACACTAGTAAATATCTTTAATATCATGGTGAATTATTTTACAGTGGTGCTTAGGGGCTATTATTGGCTCTATGTTCAGAGTGATCCTTGGCAGTGCTCAATGAACCATATGCAGCTCTAGGGATTAAAACAGATGTCAGTTACAGAGAGATAATACACTCCTGCCTGAGTTATTTTCTTTCTTATAAGGGGTATGAGGTATACCCAGCTATACTTGGGGTTTACTTTTGGCTCTGTGCTCAGAGATCACTCCAAGTTATGCCCTAAGAACTATATGTGATGTTAAGGATAGGATTGGAGTTGGCTGCATGCAAGACAGGTGCCTGTACAATTTTATTTTCCTAGAATCATTAATAACTCAGATAATTTGTAATTGAATCAGAGAGATTGGTATGTTCAAACACTCAAGCCATAAAAAAACGGAAAGATTAAGGAAAAATATGGATATAATTTCCCTGTATGATTTTAAGGAGTGGTGATTCATAAGACTGATAAGGGAATAGGTATCCAGTTCTTCAGGGGTGGGCCCTTAAAAAACTTTTTAGGTCATTCCACAACTACCATTCTTGAGGACTTGGCTCAAAAGTGAATTTGAGAAAAGCTCTCTATCAAAGCAGAGTTGTGTAGATGGACATGCAAAAAATAAAAGCCTATTTTTATATTTTGCTCACTACATCCATCCCTAATGAAACTGCAATTTAAACACTTTGATTTGAGTAAAGCTTTGAAAATCACTTATTCTTTCATCGGTAAAATACCCGGATGTTGGATTAACATAGCAAGTCTCACAGAAACTGTCCTGAGCGATGGACTATATCCAAGGGAGCGTCATAGGTTAGGAGAGCCGGGTTTTTGTGGAGGCACACCCTGCACTGAACATTCTTTAATTCACAAAGACAAATATTTCAACTATGGCCTGATCAACTGGAACCGAATTTCCAACAGTGGAAAAACTAACAACTGCTAAAAACTTAAAAAAAATATGAAGAAGCTACATCCCCAAACAATTAGATTCTATATGAGTTGTGGGTTGCAATTATAGGCAATTCCAGACAGGAAAGGCTAGTGTCTGATTTCCACAAAGGATAGAAAGGAGCTTCAAATATGCATTTGCATGCTGGCTAGCCACCTTCGTGGGAGAATTGCTGTGACACCCAAGTTTTCCAGTTGAAGAAACAAGGAGGAAAGGAGTGTCAAGGATGTAGAAACGCATCTATTTGTGTTGTCCAATTTGTGTTGAGTAGACAATATTAGTTAAAGCGTTTGGTTCTTCGGTAGTAAAAATATATATGAAGAGTATATTATGAAAGAACAAATTCATCTGGGATGAGAATCCTTCTCCATAAAAAAGTATTGTTTTTTTGGGAGGGAGAAGGGGGGGTGGCACACCCAGCAGTGCTCAGGGCTTACTCCTGGCTCTGCATGCAGGAATTACTTCTGGCAATGCTCACCATGTGGGATGTTAGGGATTGAACTTGGGTTGACGGCATGCAAGGCAAATGTACCCTTCTCTTGACAGATACCTTTATTTATCTTTGTTCAACTATAGTGAAATACAAACTATAGCTATTTTTGTAATTTATGGAAGTTTTTAAATAAGAGTAATTAAAACAACATTTATGTTTGTAGGAGAAGTGTGGAGTGGGAAAGAAATAGTTCTAAACTTTATGAGAAATATTTTTATTGAAAAATTATGAAATTTTATGACAAAAAAGAGATTCCTAACCCTTTTCTTCTATAGTTACCAGAAATTGGTGTTGGATAATACCATCACATTGAGATTATTGGAAGCTAGTAACTGCTTCATAATTTATTATATGTGTTAAATTTGAAACTAGATGAAATTATAAACTATAATAATTATGTGAAATTAATTTTCGCATCTAGAGAAATACAATTTAATAAGTTCACACCTTCTCTGACTAAGTTCAAGTAAGCTAAGAAGACTTTTATACCATGATAAAATCATCCTTTAAATTACAGGTTCTGGACGATAGAGGGCACTGCTCACACATGCTGTTTAACTAGATGTCTGATGTTGAACATCTAGAATGTTTCACAGGAGTCCCCTGAAGTTATGGGCCTTGATTGTAATTCAATACTACAATAAAGTATTATTTAATTGAATTAATCCTGAAATTCTGTAAGATAGAGAAAATTGAGATCCATAGGACAAATGGTTTGTCCAAGACTATTCAGCACAACTTTCCCTCCAGAATTGCCTTTCCAGCATAAATTTTTGCCTCTATTATGGGATTAAATGCAGAGTTTCAGTGACATTTAGTTTATCTAGACTGATGTTCATTGCACTCTACTATTACTGTCTTTTTCCAAATTCTTTTGATGACTCGTTGACAACATTGCTATGTGCACTTAGGAAATTTATCTCAAGTCTTTTTGTCTCATTTTCTCCCTGCATAAATCTAAAAGAGTCATAGTAGTGTCTTCCTCAAAAAGCCACTGAGAGAATTAAGTGGAATAATACCTACAGAAAGGAGACAATGCCTGCTTAGAGTATGTATTCCTGGACTGTTATCTGCCGCCAGCTGCTACTATCACCACAACCACCAGCGTCACCTCTACCACCACCTCCTCCATTAATGTTTGTTATATAAGTTACTCATCTAGACAGGAAAGAGTGGTTGTAGTACAAATACCTGCTTTCTAAACAAAAGAGGCTAAACTCTCATCAGTAAGTATCTGTGCCGTTAAAAGGATTCTTCTGTGTGGTAGATATATACGCAATGGAAAAAGATGCAGCTGTAAGCCACGATGAAATCATACAATTTGCTGCAATATGGGTGGAACTAAAAGGTATCATGTTGAGTGAAGTAAACCTGGAGAAGAAAGACAAACACAGGCTGATCTCATTTATCTGTGGGATATACAATTCTGGATAAGAAAATATGTTGCAGTAAAAGGGAGAATGCCTAGATCATCCTTGACCCCAGTGTTCAGAGAAAAAGATAAACAGAGAAGGATAAAAAATCAAAGGGGAAGAAGAGAATGAGAAGTTACAGGTGAAGTCTTAGGGCTTCAGTATACTGATGATATGAATGAGGGTTATAGCCATATACCCAAAACATAGATTCAATAAAACTGAAAACATGATATCTAAGTGGCAAACACTGAAACTTTCTAATATAGAGTGGATATTAGGATGGAGAGGGAACCTGGGAATACTTGGTGGAGGGATGTTGACAGGGGTGAGGAAGTGGTGTTGAATTATTGCATGCCTATAATTTTGTAAATCATGGCCTTTTAACAAATAAAAGGATTTTATGCAATTCGGAAACTACTTGAGTCATTATGGTGCCTGTTTTCCAACATTTGTCTTTTCAAATGCTTACTGGGCTGACAAAATGAATCCAAGGTCTCAGCGCGTATGTTATTTCCCATATTAGATAAGGTTTATTCTGACTTTGCTTAGATGACCTTTATCAATTATATGTTTGTGTGTGATACAATTAATAATAACTTAGGCACTTAAATTCTTAAATTACCAATGACTAAATTTTATATTGAGACTCTTATATAATGTTCCCATAAATGGCGCCTAATTTTTGCTTGAAGGCTTCTTCTGTGGTATATTCCACATTAGAGCATTGCTCTTCATGAACAATGGGATTAAAATTGTGGGGATGCTGTAATTTTCCAGTTATTAAGTGTTTAAAAATCGGATTTCAAAATTATGTCTTGAAATTCTACTACTCTGGAACATTTAGAGTAAGTCCATCTGCAACCATGAATGCATCCCAATGCTTTTACCCTCGGACAGAAGAGTTGGGTTTCATTACTTTTTCTTATTACATAACCGTTTTCATGAATTGTTTACTTTTATGGTGTAGATGGATCAAATTCTTGAAATAATTATAACAGCTCTTTAAGTACTGAAATTATCTAGGAATATGATCAAGAGTCCACTTTTTGACACATTACTTTTGCACTTTGCTCTCTTCCACAAATAGGTTTCTATTTTCTACAAGCAGTCCTTGGCACAACTGTGATTCCCTCATGTATGCCAGGAGAATCTGAAGATAACTGCACAGCTCTAGGTAAGCTCAAACTTGTCAACAAGCAATTGTACATTACTGACAGAAATGTAAACTCAAAAACTACACATATGTGTCAAGAAAAAAGAGAGGAGGGGGTGAGAAATAGCTGTTTTATTAGCAAAAGAAATATTGAACCTTTTTACAAACTAGTGATGGGCTAGAGCGATAGCACAGTGGTAGGGCGTTTGCCTTGCATGTAGTTGCCTGGCCAAGCAGGGATCGATTCCTCTGCCCCTCTCAGAGAGCCCTGCAAGCTACTGAGAGTATCTTGCCGGCACAGCAAAGCCTGGCAAGCTACCCATGACATATTAGATATGCCAAACACAGTAACAACAAGTCTCATAATGGAGATGTTACTGGGCCTTCTCGAGCAAATCAATGAACAACGGGAGGACATTGACAGTGACAGTAACGGACTAATGATATGGAGGTATCACCTGATGAGGGAGTGGGCATTTAATAAATTTAAAGATTAGAATTAAATGAAACAAGATAAAGTGGCAGGGAGATAGCCCAAAAGGCTAGAACACATGCCTTGCAGACTTGAGGCCTCTAGTTCAACCCCCAGTTCCACATGCCAGATGTCACCCTAGTGGCCACCAGCACTGCTGGTCAAACAGTACCAAATCTTCTGGCCAGAGTACGGTTAGATTCACATAGCCAGGCCGAGTATCATTAGGAGTAGCCTCTGAACCTCTGAGCATTGCTTGGGATTACCCTTTCAAAATAATTTTTGGTGGTGACACCCAGTGGTGCTCAGTAGTTACTCCTGGCTCTATGCTCAGGGATCACTCTTGGCAGAAGTCAGGAATCGAACTGGGTCAGCTGCATGAAAGGCATGTGCCTTAATCCTTGTACTATCTCTCTAAATACCCAAATAAATTTAAAAGTAATAACGATAGGTAAAGGTAAAGGTCCTCCCGTTGATCATCGATTTGCTCGAGCGGGCCCAGTAACGTCTCCATTGGAGACTTTGTTGTTACTGTGTCTGGCATATCGAATACTCTCGGTAGCTTACCCGGCTCTCTGAGAGGGGCGGAGGAATCGAACTCGGGTCGGCCATGTTGGCCGCATGCAAGGCAAACGCCCTACCCACTGTGCTATCGCTCCTTTATCCTTTATCCTAATAACGATAATAATAATAATAATGTAAAAATGTATAATAATGTATCGCCCTGGAGCAATAGCGCAGTGGTAGGGCGTTCGCCTTACAAGCGGCCAACATGGCCGGCCCGAGTTCGATTCCTCCGCCCCTCTCAGAGAGCCCGGCAAGCTACCGAGAGTATTCGATATGCAAAACACAGTAACAACAAAGTCTCCAATGGAGACGTTACTGGGCCCGCTCGAGCAAATCGACGATCAACGGGAGGGCCTTAATGTAAAAATATACAGAACAAAAAAATTCAATTAGTTTTGATCATTAACCAAAACTTTAATGTGAGATAATTATTAAAGGATTAGATTCCAGGCAAAACAGAAAAATTTAAACTTTGTGCACATTAGTTAATTATTATACTTTGTAACAAAACAAATAATGTGCATTCTAGCTACAGAGTTTAATCAGAAATTTTTATTACTTGTTGGTGTTTGTTGTTGGCCCCACCTGGCTGTGTTCAGGGATTCCTCCTGACTGTGCACTCAAGGATTACCCCTGATGGGCTTGAGGGACTATCTGGGTACCAGGAATAAAACCTGGGTCTGCCATGTACAAGGCAAGTGTCCTACCCACTGTACTATCACTCCAGCCCCAGAGTTTAATCAGAAATTATTATGAGGTGCTCAATACATGTCAAAGGTCATGTAGAGTGGTCCTTTGAGTAGGCATTAGTATATAGAGATAAATTATGCATATTTTTATCTCCAAACAACCCCAGAGAATCTGCTTTTTATTCAGTCTAAGCTATTCAGTCAAAAGTCATCCTGATGAACCAGAATATTTCCCACCAAAGCTTCCCTTTCTCTTCTGTCTTCACTACTAAGCTCTCTGGAGCTTTGATCAGCTTCCCCTCTCTACTCCCTATTTTTATTATTTGAACAAGAGTATCCACACAATTCTTTGCAAAATGCAGCAAACAGTAGTAACATAATGCTGCTATTTCTTTCAAAAATACTCTTCACACTAAAGCATTTGGAAGTAAATTTTGCGTATTGATTACAATACTTTGTCTAACGAGGTTCCTGTTTTTATAGTTTTTGCCTAATCTAGTCCTTCTTAATTCAGCCTTACTCCGGCTCACACTTGTGTCTCACACTTAGATGTTGACAGGCTTTAATTAGTTTCTTTTCATCATATGTCTCATATGGTATGGTTACAATACTGTTTAACTGTATGGCATTATTGTACAAAGTTAATGCACACAAAGTTTTCAGTAATCTGAAAAATTAGTGTACACTCATCAGACATGCCTGCTTGGTTTAAAAATCACTATAACGCTCTCTATAATTAATGGTTTCAATTTGAAATTCCCTTGAGAGTTAGGACTATTAGACTTATTTGAGACATGAAAAATTTACATAAATTTTGTTAGACTAAGTAAATAATTGTAGAGAATAATTATTTTTGCATATGCCTCATGCTTATTCTTTTTTGGTCTTAAAGTTTGTCTTTTAAGAGTTATAGTCCTAACTTTTATTTCATTTTGTGTAGTCTGTTGGATATTTCCCTTTGGGTCATGTATTTATTGGTCTAGAGTGTTTATTTGTTAGATGGTTTATAAGAGAAGTGTTCATTCTAAAATGCTTTCTAGTCCCCAAAATTATCCTACACTGATTGACACCTGACTTGTTCTGTGACAGTAAGTTATTAGTTACTCGTGTGAAAAGTTGTTCTGCTTCTAAGAAAGCAATAGAAAATATTCAACTTGCCATTTCCTTCACAGTTCAGACAGAAGATAATCCACGTGTGGCTCAAGTGTCAATAACAAAGTGCAGCCCTGACAGGGATGGTTATTGTTTACATGGACAGTGCATCTACGTGGTGGACATGAGTGAAAATCATTGCAGGTAAGACCCCAAATAAATTAAGCTTTGCTTTTCTCTCAACTTTTGACCATATGCAGTTACTTTATATTTCCATGGACTGCTGCCTATATGTTCCATTGGCATGTAATAGTATGTACTATGGGAAACATTAATGTGAGATAATTTTTGGTACTGGGGACCACTAGGTCCACAATTGGTGGTCTTGAGATTTTGAGGATTGAATTAGGAGACTAGTTAATGCAAGTACGTGCTCCAGCTCCTTCTTTGAGCTATCTCCTTGATCCATCAGGGAGCTTTTTTTTTTCCCTTTATTTTTTTGTTTCTTTTGTGGGCCCATGTATGGTGCCAGGGATTAAAGTAGGATCAGTTGCATGCAAAGTAAGTGTCTTTACCTTGTACTATCTTTTCAGTCCTCAGACAGTAATTTTTAAACCATTTTTTGATTTAGAGGTTTGTGGCACTCCTTGATTAATGCTAGTCTAATATTAAAGTTTTAAATTCATTTTTAAAAGTTTTGTGGATTCATGCATCATAGTGTGAGATTTTTTATAAAACTGACTTGTAAACAATGTTTCTTTTTTAAATCATTGACCTTGTGTTTCCTTTAGGTGTGAACTGGGTTACACTGGTGTCCGATGTGAACACTTCATTTTAAGTGTCAAACAACCCTTGAGCAAAGAATATGTGGCATTGACAGTGATTCTTGTTATCTTATTTCTTGTTGTAATTGCTGGTTCTATATACTACTTCTGCAGATGGTAAGTCAGTGTTTTTCTATACTCTGCTTTTTTTACAATTACTAAATTACTATTATACAATACAAACTTATAAACTAGGTAATAATAGGCCAAGGTATTCTTCATAGGAAGAAAATAGCACACATGATATTTACAAAGAATATTTAGCTGCAAAAATCTGGATTTGACTCCATTTATATATTTTATTTATTATGTAAGTGATCTTATGACAGTCAAAGTTGGAAAATCAGTTTCTTCTTCTATAAAAGAAAGATAGAAATCCTATTCTGCACTAATAATAGGATTTTTAAATTTTTGAATATGATAATATTATGACTATAAACAACAGCCATATGCAGATGTCATATTTAATACTTTGTCAATGTTACTGTACCCCAAACCATCACTAGAGTGCTCAAGCACTCCAACATGTCTGTCTGTCTGTCTGTCTTTCTTTCTTTCTTTCTTTCTTTCTTTCTTTCTTTCTTTCTTTCTTTCTTTCTCTCTCTCTCTTTCTCCCTCCCTCCCTTCCTCCTTCCTTTCTTTCTTTCTTTCTTTCTTTCTTTCTTTCTTTCTTTCTTTCTTTCTTTCTTTCTTTCTTTCTTTCTTTCCTCCTTCCTTCCTTCCTTCCTTCCTTCCTTCCTTCCTTCCTTCTTTCTTTCTTTCTTTCTTTTTTTCTTTCTAAATAACATTTATTTCTTCTCTTGACATTAACAAGATTCATCTTCAGGGCTAAAGTGGTCTCAAAGAATTCCCTTATTCTTAAAAAATGTGTATAAAATTCTCAACTGAGTCCTATTTATTTTTCATCCTTGGCCACAATGACCTTCAGATACATTTTGTGCTGGTTTAGTCATAGAGATTTATTAGTAAACAAATTGAAGGTAGAGCTTGAATCATCTGTGCCCTTTTTCTAATGTATCTAAAACTCTAGAAGAACTGCGATTTCCTTTGTTAACATACTTTGTTTGATTACTTTTAACTACATCACTAATGGTTTTCATTTCTGATTATTTCTAGGTACAGACATGGGCATAGCAAAGAATCAAAGAAAGAATATGAAAGGGTGACCTCAGGGGATGTGATGTTGCCACAAGTCTGAATGGTGCCATCAGTTATAGGGGCACAAAAGCACTGCATGCCTCATTATATTAATATTACTATTTTATTAATATTTATGTTGTCATATGTTAAGTCAATGGTAGTATATTTTAATATACTGGGAAAGTTTTTATTTTTGTGTTATTTTTGACAGATTGCTTGCTATGTATAATGCACCTAGAATGTTTAATATAGAAAGAAAATTATTTTTGTAAGAAATCATTTTCTGGGCTAAATGTTTTATTGAAAGCTTCAAGGCTTATATGCCCAATTAACGCTGCACAATTTGTTGCTCGGGATATGTCAATCAATGAATAGATTTCTGTAAACCTAAATATATGGTCAGATCAGTTGAATAAGTTATATATTTCTCTTCTCCTCAAATCAATAATCATTGTTTTAATTATATGATGTGTTATACATCAAATACACCAGCATATCATGTATGAAAACAGTAATGCAATGGGAATTGAGGAGAAACAAAGATTCATCGTGTGCTAACCACCCTACATTTGATATTGAACCAACTGGGGAAGAAGATGCTTCCTCCTTTCCAGTCTTAACTATGACCCTTGGCTATCTGCAATGAACAGACACCTTTATGTTCCAGCCTACAACTCCTATAGTTATATGTCAGCCAAGCAACAATTCTCCTTCAGTGAAATGTACCTAGGAATTAAATTTATGCTAACTTTTATAAACAGTAGGGTTTTATTTTTTAAAAGCTTTACAACATTCTCTTAAAAATTATTTTAAGTCTAACATTTGTACTTATGAGACAGACAATCTGAAAAAGTTTGCACCTTAAACCAAAATATGTACTTCTTTCTAAGACGATTTATTTTCACTGTCATCGGTTGCCTCGAGCAGGCCCCTGTAACGTCTCCTTTGTCCTAGCCCTGAGATTTGAGAAAGTACCACATTTGAGGCTCTTTCAGGGTCAGGAGAATGAGAACCATCTTTGTTACTGGTTTTGGCATATTGAATACACCAAGGGGAGTTTGCCAGACTCTGCCATGTGGGCATGATAATTTTGGTAGCCTGCCAGGTTCTCCGGAGTGAGAACTAGATAATTTAGATTTATTTTCACAGGGAAATAAATTTAAAAAATTATTTTTAAAATGAACAGGGATTAGAGTGATAGCACAATAGATAGGGTGCTTGCCTTTTACTTGGCCAACCCGGACTCAGTCCTGGACGTGCCAGATGGTGCCTGAACCTTCCAGGAGTGACCCCTGAACCCAGCACCAGGAGTAAGTCTTGAGCACCACTTGGTTTCCCCCTACACACACAGAAAAAAAAAAAACAAGAAAGAAAGAAAAGAAAAAATACACATGTTTTCATATTTACTTTCAATATGCAAAGGATTATAAAATTTAACTATAGTCCCAAATGTGATGGACTAAATCATTTAAAAGCATATGACAATTTTCCTCTATTTTGTCTAAACATGAAAATATGGTTAATGGTTATCCCATGTATTATTATGGCACAATTTTAACTTAAACCAAGACAGTAAGTAATTTATTCTGAAATTTAGAATTATATGTTTAAAATTATTTACTGACACAGGAAGTGGGAAAAATAACAAAATAAATCATTGCGTATTTTCCAAAATGACCACTCATTTGGAAACTTTTAAAGTTTAGAAATTCAACCATGCCTTCCCGTGGAAGCGAAAATGAAACCACGGCCCTGTTTATTTTTGGGAAGATGCTCAAGTTTCTCCCTAGCCCAGAATTATGATCTCAGTGAGTCTGTGAAGGGGCTTGGGCAACCACTCAACAGTCATGAGCGCCAGGTCTCATGGAAGATTGTCTCAGTGAATGCTAGAACTTTGGTAGAAACTTTCAGGTCCACATACCTGGTTAGTCAGGGTCTGTTCTCTTCCATCATCTGTTTCCCTGACTTATATCGGGGCAACAAATAGGAAAATAAGTTATGGCTGACCTCTGAAGTATTATGTGTCAGAACTGTCCTTCATGCTTATCCCTCTACTGAATATTCTGGTTTTCACTTTATTCTTAAGTCCTGAATCTGGTACCTTACTATTAAGACAATCAACAGCCAAGATATACAAACAAAAATATGTATCCAAATATATAAAATTGCATATATAAGTATATAGATATGATAATTCTACACAAAACATACTTATTTACATGTAAATACTTATACATGAGCTCAATTAGTCACAGAATGAATTGTTGATTTATTAAGAATGCAGAAACTTAAAGGATCAAGAGGAGAAATATATCAGTAAGATTCAAAAGGCTGTTTCAGTTTCCTGTGTAGAATAACTAAAGATAGATGGACTGGGTAAGAACAAATTTTTAAATCCCATTTTAAATTTAATTGGTACCTTGTGTATAGGTATACCTACTGTATACCTACTATATAGGAATTTTATCTACTTTTTATTTCTTCAAGAGTTATTGATAACCAAGAAATCAGCAATAATCCACTTATTTTATTTACAAAAAGGGAGCAATATATATTGATCTGTGTAAAACATAATAACTCATGTTGCATGAATAGGTGAAGGCAGTTTGGGGTGTTTTCAATCTTTAAAATGCTTTCAAATTTTCCTTACCTTCTAAAGTTAAGTTTTTATTACAGTTGAATATTAAATAATAAAAAGGTGTTATCCAGATTGATTTTCATTGGTGAAACTAAGTAAAAAGGTAATGGCTTTTGTGAGGATACCCTTTCATGTTGCTGACCCTGGTTTGATCCTTAGCATTTCATATGATCCCTTGAGCCCATCAAGACTGATCCATGAGGATGACAGGGTGTGGCCAAAAAACAAAAAAACTTATTTTGAGATCTATGTAATATGTTAGACACTTATAATATTATAGAGTGCCTCTACAGACATTATTTTTCTCATATCACTATGCCGAGAGTAGAAGCAACGGGATAATTGATATAGAGAATTAAGTGTGCTTTTTTTTTTTCTTTTTGGGTCACACCTGGCGTTGTACAGGGCTTACTCCTGGCTCATGCACTCAGGAGTAACTCCTGGCGGTGCTTGGGGGACCACATGGGATGCTGGGAATCGAACCTGGGTTGGCCGCGTGCAAAGCAAATGCCCTACCTGCTGTGCTATCTCTCCAGCCCTGAATTAAGTATGCTTTAATGAAGATTTAAATTTTTATTTTATAAAAAGGGTTATCTAAATTCAGCTGTCATCAAATATCAAATCTACTTTTACACAGCAAGTCCTTGATGCTAATGTCTTTTTCTGTTGCATTTGAAATTTAGAAAACTTCTGTCTATCCTATAATTTTGCTGCCATGTCTATTTTGTAAACTACTTTTTTAAAAAAGTGTTTAATTTGATGCCACTAATTTCTTTATTTCCTATTCTTGTTTATACAGTGAAAGGGAGAATAACAACTTATGTAAACAGTGTTCTTGAATTTATTTTAATGTTTTAACTTAGAATAATTAGAACTACATATCTAAAAGAATATATTTTATTCAAATTTAAATTGAATAATATTAGTTATAAGCTAGCGTTTTTTCTCTTTGTTTTTTTTGCACTCTATAATTGCACTTTTTAACTTTAAAGAGCCATTTTGGTATATGATTTATATTAAAGATGCTATGGAACATAAAGTTGTATTATAAGCATTTTAAAGTAACTTATTTGAGAATTTTGTAATGGTACTGAATTGTATCAATTTGTTTGTGTTCAATATCAGCTTTGATAATTATGTACCTTAAAATATTGAAGGAGAATTTAGATACTTTGTAAAATTGCTCATTTTTATTTATTTTTGTTGGAATTTGGAAAAATTACAATTAAAAAAATAAAAATGCATAAGCACCATGCATAAAAACTTTGTTGCTATTATTTTTTCCATATTATATTAAAGGTCTTATAAGTAACAGTAGTGCTAAAATGTGTTTAGAAATAAAGCATAATAATTTTATTTTGGGAAATAATTCTTAAAATGTATTTAATATGATGCACCATAGTCAAATGATTTCTTTGAAATGAATGGAGTCACATGAATTATAAAACGTCTACATGTTTCACAGCAGAATTGCTCTCTGCACTTCTGTGTTCATTGCAGCACTATTTACAATAGCTAGAATCTGGAAACAACCCAAGTGCCTGAGAAAAGAAGATTGGTTAAAGAAACTATGGCACATCTACACAATGGAATACTATGCAGCTGTTAGGAAAAATTAAGTTATGAAATTCTCTTATAAATGGATGGACATGAAGAGTATCATGCTGAGTTAATTGCGTCAGAAGGATAAGAATAGACAGAATAACTGGACTCTTGAGGGATATAAAATAACATATCACTTGTATCACTTGTTGTCCTGTTGTTCATCGATTTGCTTGAGCGGACACTACTAACGTCTCCATTCGTCCCAGCCCTGAGATTTTAGTAGTCCCTCCTTACTCGATTAAATAACATAATATGAGACTAATACCCAAAGACAATAGAAACAAGGGTCAGGAGGTTTGATCCACTGACTCCTTGTTCTTTTTCATGTGACATACATTTTACAAATGTATTTTACACAAAATATTTGTTTTTTTTTGGATATTCCTTTTTATTTATTTATTTTTTTGTTTCTTTTTTTTTTTTTAACAGTTGTAGATTTACAATTTTTTGTGCTTGGGTTTCGATTATACAATGATCAGATAACCATCCCTCCACCAGTGCCCATTTTCCACCACCATGGATAATATCCCCCCACCCCCATCCCCCCATCCCCCCCTGTCTCTGTGGCAGGGCAATCCCCTGTGTTCTCTCTCTCCTTTTGGGTGTTGTGGTCTGCAAAAGAGGCATTGAGTGGCAAACATGTTCAGTCCATAGTCTACTTTCGACATGCATCTCCCCTCCTGGGAGGATCCTCCAAACACCCTTTATTTGGTGCTCCCTTCTCTATCTGAACTGCCCTTTCCTCTAGGATACCTGGCTGGCCTCTAAGTTATGGAGTAATCCTCCTGGTGCTGATCTCAGCTATTCTTGGGTAT